ATACGTGTATTCAACATTTGCTTCCCTTCCCGATAGATTTTTTACTCTTCTTGCTACAGTCATGCTGTAAAATATTGTCCGATGATGATGTTCATTAGAGTTCGTGTATAGTCATGTTCGTCTTTGTCCATACGACGATTGTATCTTCGCACCATGTAATGATATTCGACGGTTCTGGCTGACGCTCCTCCGTTTTCAAGAGCTTTCCATCGACTGAGATGTGCAAGAGTCGAGAACCATGAGGATCAACTACCATCCATTCATTACCATTGATCGAACAAGATTTGCCGCCAAACCATTGTAAAGTGATATCTGCCGACCACAACCGATCGAGTGTTGTCGATGAACGCAGTTCGAATCGAGTGACTCTTTGTAGAAAACTGGCGATCATAATAGCCAATGAATTGTTTTTAAATTTGATATCGACAATGCATTCATCTATTTGGCAGATCGTAGGTACTCGCCATTCCTTGATCAATTGAATGGATGGCAGAAGAGTGTACTCGCAAATAAATGAACCACCGTTGTCCGTCGATAGAAACAAAGTAGTGTTAGAGCATGCTCCACGAGTCCATCTATTGTTTGAAACAAGTTGACATGAGTCAATAGTTATCGTTTTTGCATCGACTGTGAAGATTTGCTTCATCAAAATTACAATAAATCGATCGAGCGTTGACGACCAGCAAATGTCTCTAATTTCACCATGAGTGAACGGTATCTCCTTCAGAATAGTTAACTGTCCATCAAGCAAACATAAATTAGATTTGTGATACACGAATAAATTTTTATCGTTAGTGACCATTGGTGAGAACCAATCACTTTTCAATGGAATTGATCTATATGAAGGTCGAAGAGGCAAGATAGCCGTGTTCAATGGTCGAAGACGAATGAGATTATCATTGATTGGTAATGGAAGAAGAGTGATTCGACAATGTTCGACTTCGATGAGCTGTATTTCGATCGTTTGAAGGCTTTTTGAGATCGAATCGATGATTTCTTTTGTTACGTCTTGCTGATTCACCAATAATCGCAGTTGATCGAGTTGTTGTGTCGATTTCTTTCTGATTTCGTCTATGTGTTCTCGACACCATTTTTCACAGAAACGGTCGAGTGATTGATGAGTTTCGAGGCGCCATTCATCGAGTTGTTTGAGATAAGATGGTTTGATAGATGAAAGTCGAACCGAAAGTTGATTGATCTCGTCGACACATGATAGCATACTTTGATCGAGCTGATCCGCATGTTCGTTAAAATGAGTACGACAAAGATTCTTTTGACAACAATAACATAAAGCAAGAGATGAATGTTTGCATTCGTCAACAACACATTTGCATGGGGATGATGCCATCTGCTTTTCTTGGTCAAGTGCATAGAATGACTGAATAGGTAAGATACATGAGAATAAATATCTGACTTGCTCATATATGCGTCGACAAAGAAATATATTAACGAATCACAACGCAGGTCAAACTACGAAAGTGAACGATCACATTTGAAAAATATAAATCGATTGTCGTCCGATCTGTACGACAGACAGTTCTAGTGGACAGAAATGTTATAGATATTAGCTTCAAGCGACAAGGATGTTAAAAATGAAAAATAGAATAGACACCATAGTGATGCTCAATATTGTGACAAACAATTAACAGCGTGACTACAACTGCTTGTAAATGGATCATTGTTAGATGCATTTTTCTCGATTATTTTGTTTGTTAATTCTTGTTTCCCAACGTTAGACACATCTTGGATTCGTCTTAGCAACTAATCAAACCGTGTATAAATTGCGTTCGCTACCAATATCACATTTTGACAAACATTTTCAATTTCTACAGCTAGTTGTATTCGCTCACCATTCGATTGGAAATATTTAATCGAGAAAACTGTTCAATTCATTTCAGCGACATGCATTCCTAGTGAAAATTCAAATAATTTCCTTTGCAGATCTGAGACGGATCCGAGTAAGATTCTGCCAGGAATCTCGTTGTTTTCCCGAGAAAACAATTGAATTCAAGTAGAAGGGTGTTATTGAGAAATGTTGATGATCCTGAAAGAATTCAAACCAAGAACAAGTTCAATTAACAACATCTACCAATGAAATTTTGGATATAGCTGATCTCGAATCAATCTCAATCCGAACGGTCATAACAAATTCTATTCAAAATCCATCATGAGCTGCACTTAATAAGAAATTGTTTACGTGTCCAATTACATTCGATATCATAGATAATCCAGTGATAACAATACCCTGTGGACATATGTTTGATATGGACTGTATCGTCACTTATTTGAATACAGTTAATCAGATATATCCAATTTGTCGAACACCAGTCATTGATGTCCTACCCAAGCGGGCATCCGATAGGCATTTCGACCCGTCCATTTTAGCTTCCGATGGGCATCGAATCTCTAGATGAAGCCCTCGGATTCTCACTTTCCGATTGGTCAAGGACTCGACGATAGGTCATTTTGATGGGTAGTTTCCTACTACTCGAACGATTATTTTCGAGGGGATCGTATTTTGATTAAAAAAGAAGTTTTTCTTCGATAGATGTCTCAATTTCGAGTGCTGGAAATCTATCGAATATATGCATAAGATTAGATTTGAACATGGTTACTTACGATTCACGTTCCTTGAACAGTTGATTCTAAATATGAACTGTTAATATTTTGTAAGAATCATCTTTTGAATATGTTAAAAGATAGCGCTCTAAAATTATTTTCCTTTTTTTTCAGTTGTTGATTCTATTTATTAAGCGTAAAAAATAAAGTTTTTAACAAGCAAACATTAAATCTTTCACGTCCCTGACTGATAGTAGAATTTCTTGTATTTGGAATTCTGTCTGAATAAGTTGTTTATTAAGTATAGTATGCAATCTTCGACTAATTTGTACAACAAAAATGAAATTAATATATTTAGAAATTGTGTCATTAGTTCAAAACATCAAAATTCATTAAGAATGCATCTAAGTTATAAACAGGAACTGCCTTGTATCCTGACTGTAATAAGTAGAAAATAAATATCGATCGAAAAATTATTAAATTTAAATAAATTATGTATCGAACACAGAGTTCTACTGATATAAATAAATTAAATAAAGCATATTTAAAGCAACGGAAATTCGAAGAATTTTCGCTCTATAAAGGTTTGATTCGATAGCCAGCACTGTTATTAGAATGAGGTTGTCTGTATCGAAACATTCGGAGCTATTCTGCCGATGTTTCTTTTTCTTAAGTGGTTGATTCTTAGATAAGTTTCAAATGTTTGAAGTATGTCCGAGGAGTTAAAAGCATTCTTCCGACATGTATTCTTTCGCTGAGCACTCGGAACTTCGATGAGTGCCGAACGGTCGAACTGTGTTCGAGTAGTCAAAAATGAATATCTAATATGACACACTTTTCGAGTGCTCGAACTTCGATGAGTATTGAGGGGCTCGAAACAGAAACAGAACGAAAAAAATTTATATTTCAAATTTTCGACCACTCGTCGACCTCGTCGTATGCTTTTTTGTTTCTGTTTGGGTACTAAAGTATGCTTTTAAAAATCTCATTGAAGTATGGATTGAACAATAGAAAGAATAAACTTTTTTATTCATTTAATTATCATCTTATTTTTAATAACTCAGACATTGTTTTAATAAAATTTGAAGCAAAACATCAATCCTTATCTCATTTTCCTTCGACTATTTTTTCAAACTATTTTTCAAAGAAATGCATGACATCAATAGATAATGATTCAAGAACATTCTATCCATTTTCATTTTTCAGGCGAACCCAATTCTCAGAACATCCAAGTTTTTTTTTTGAAGAACACTCGAAGTTGAGTTTTTATCATAGGAAGATGTATGGAAGTCTCCTCTTTCAGAACACATATAGCTTTTCGCAAAATGGCCAGATTTTGACGGTCATACTGGCAGAAACTTGGATCCTACTATCATGTTTTTCGAAACATTTTCACAGTTTTTTGCTGAAAGACTGTCTTTCTGCTTGCAACAGCATTGAATAAACCGTTCTTTGTTATATTAATCATTAAGACCCTACTAACACTCAAGATAAAGATCCCATATTTACAGTCTCTCCTGAACACTGATATATAATTTAGGTACGTTTCGACAAAATCTAACAAATATGAATGAAAAAATCGATTTCTAAAACTTATTTAGTGTTTTTCTGAAAAACAGCAGACAATTAGGGCTAGATCACAATGGAGGTGTGGGTGTGGTTGTGGGTATGGGTGTGGGTGTGGGTCTAGGTGTGAGTGTGGGTATGGGTGTGGGTGTGGGTCTAGGTGTGAGTGTGGGTATGGGTGTGGGTGTGGGTCTAGGTGTGAGTGTGGGTATGGGTGTGGGTGTAACGTTATTCTGACATATACCCACACCCATACCTACACCCACCCACACCCCAACTTGGATTACCACGTGCACAAGCTAAAACATTGAAAATAAATGCGAAAACATCGGATTTAAATCCGAGTGTTATGTGTACTTCAAAAAGTGAAGAGGTATATTCACTTTGTATTTTATCAACTGAGACATATCTAGGCAATTTGCTTTCTGCATGTAGTTTTTTGTGCATTTTGAGACCTTTTTCAGGCGATGTTTTGTTAGAAAGCTACGATTTGGTTCAAAACTAATATCAGATTCAGAATCACCGTTAAAAACTGAGTCGATTTATATATGTTGTGAATAATTCTGAGGAAAATATTTTTTTTGAAAAAATCCCTGTACTCCCCCTCAGGGATGGTCGGGCCAATAATGACAATTTTTTCGATAACTCAGCCATTTCTTGACGGATCCTTCTCATCTTCGAACTCGACCGAAACATTGTTAAGACTGAACTGTGTAGAAAATTTCATCGCGATTGAGCTCTCCTTTCAAAAGTTATCGTGTAAACGGCCGGCCGGCCGGACGGACATACTGACCGATTCTAGAGTGTACTCACTTTTTGAGTACACAATCACTTTTTGAGTACACAAAAATCAAATACTACTTCATTTATAGATATTATTTATAAAGATTAATAACACGACCATCAACAAGTAAAATAATAGCACGACCACTTAGTAGATGATAAATATCAACCTATAAGAATAGAAACAAGTTAACTAAAATCATTTGTAACCAGATAATACATACTTGCGGTTTAATATGTTCAATTTGTACAGCATTGGCTTTTAACCACACAACATCAATTTCAGTCTGACCTGAACCTATATTA